AGTGCCTTCCCAGCAGTGTCTGCCTTGTGACGGGACCAGGAGCAGGCTCCTGACAGACACAGCTATGTGAGCAGCAGTGCCAGACACAGGGTAAGGCCTGTCAAGCACCTCTGCTCCAATTCATGGCATTTTTTCTCTTCCAGGCAGATAACAGTATCTATCCTACCCACCTTGAGCAAATATTTGGGAGATAAGCAGCACTGTTTGTGCTCAGCAGCAGTGACTGGACTCTGCTCACCACCGGGGACACTTGGCTGCTGTGTCCTGCAGGGCAGTTTCAGGTCATGCTCTGTGTCCCACCTCCAAACAGCCCTCTTCTCCCTCTCTGTGGCATTTCCCACAGCCACCTCCTCCTCCTCCAGCTCCACAGCCAGGCCCAGAAGCCAAGTAGAGCTGAGAGCCCCTGAAGCACAGGGAGCCCTGCAGAGATTGCTGTGTGTGCGCTGGGGGCACACGGGGCAGGTTCAGCAGGGAGGACAGCAGGTGCAGCACAGACCCACCACGTCTGCAGGACCCACAGACAGGCATTTCTCTCTTCTTCCCCTGTCCTCCCACAGAATGAGGAGAGAGACACGTTTTAATGACAGTTTGCTGAAATGTGCGTTCCCTGCTGATTTGACATTGGGCAGAAAAAGTGTCTACAAAATCAATTTTTAATAAATGTAAACAACTAAATTATGAATGACAAGAATATCACTGAACAGTTAAATATTAATCATGTAATTACTTAAATTAATACTTTTAGTGCAATATTGTGATAGAGGGTTCTGCTTATGCAGTGCCACTGCGCTGGCCACAGCAGGGCACAGGGGACCACGGGCACAGGGCACAGGGGACCACAGTGGCCCCCAGAGCAGAGGGACCTGGGGCCTTAGGGCCTCATTGTGCCACAGCCCCAGCTCCTGCTTGTCTCACAGGTCCCACAATACTGGGTGCTCTTCTTAAGACCTCTGGAACCAGATTTATTAGGAAAGAACTTGTATTTTCTGTTCAAAATAAAACCGTCAAGAAAATGGCTAAACTGGCCCAAACAAGAAAGCAAACTGCCCCACCCTGAAGTGCAGTGAGACTCCCCAGCAGCCGTGTGTGATGTGCAGACCCCCAGGTGTGCTCAGTGATGGACTTTGGGAAGACCAGAGGCGCTCTGGGGGGAGCTGGGGATGCCAAAAGCCCTGTTTGCTTCTGAAAGGGAGCTGGGAGAGTGCATGAAGGAGGTGGTGTGTCCTGAGCTCTGCTGGGGCTGGACTTACCGCCCTGCAGGGCCCCCTGTGCTCCTGCCTGCCCAGGTGCTGCAGGGAGCCTGCAGGCTGGAGAATCCCTCACCAGGATTGAGGGGGGAGCCGCCTTCTGTGGGTACCTGCAGGCAGCACGGGGCTTCTTTCCTTGCCCAAGAAACTAAGAAAAGAATTTACTGGCACTCTTGTCCTTGTGGGTTGGCTGTCTTTGTTGTTTGTTTTTAATCTAATAAAAGAAGATCTTAATATCGTGGTAAAATCGGTACAAAGCTAGAAACTCGCCCTGTGGCGTTTTGGCGAAACATTATTGAAAATGTAAAAGCCTTTAGCAGAAACAACAAAGGCACAAGGAAACAGTAGGAATGGGATCAACAGGTTCTGTTCTGGCTCTTGGGAGAGGCAGAGAAGTGCACCCAGCCAGGGCCCGAGGTGCCAGGCTGGAGGCTGGACAGCAGCCCCGCGGTGGCTCTGTGGCAGCGGTGGCCGAGGACAGTGGGCAGCACTGCAGAGCAGGGAGCAGGCAGGAGGGAAGAGCACCTTGCTGGGAGGGCAGGAGCAAGCCAGGAGGAAGAAGAAGGGACTGGGAGGATCTGAGCTCTGGGCAGATGGTGTGAGCACGGCAGGACCCGGCCAGGGCAGTGGAGGCAGTGGGAAGACACGCTTGGCATCCTTAGGCTGGCAACTGCTGGAGCTGCTCCTGCCTCAGTCTGCTCCCTGTGTGGGAATTAAATATTGGACACAGATTATACAAGTGCTTCTAAATGAGAAAGTGAAGCATCTCTTGCAGAAAGGTGGGAGTGCTGAAGAAGTGTTCATTGTTCAGACTCGCCCTTTGCTGCAGCCCTTTCTGCCCTGTCTCCCTTTCCCTGTGCCTCCTGAAAATGCTAATTTGTCCACCAGTACAGCGCTGGTTGCCATGACCACTCATAAAAACAGCCATTTTCAGGGTGACTAGTGCCCAGTCTGAGCTGCAGCCGCTCCCCATGACTTTAAACTCACAGCACACGGTGGGTCGCTGGAGGGAGCAGCTTCCTGAGGCTGCCAGCCAGGCTGGTACCTTATTTCTGACTGATCATCAGCGAGTCTGCACCGTGCAAAGCCCTTCCTGTCCCCCTGCTCTTGCTGACTTGCCAGCCCTGACACCCTGAGTGCATTTTGCTCCTGGGTGAGGCATTTCATTCTGGCCACCAGAGACCCATCCACGGAGAGCTTCGTGTCCCGGTGCAGAGCATGGAGCTTCTCCTGGTCACTGTGCTCCTTTCCACAGCCTCACACATGGAGAGGAATCCTGTCAGGAACTGTGCATTGAAGCTGCCCTTTGAGTTCATTTTGCTCTCCCAGCATTGCATTTTCCAGAGGACTTTTCCAGGTATGGTTTGAACTGGCGAGATGGGAGAAGCGGGAGCTCTTTCCACATGCGGCATTACGACATGCTGCAGTGAAGTTGGTTCTTGGAACGTAGCAGCCCCCTAAAATGTCAAATAAATCCTTAAACTATTCATCACTCTGTTTTTGGGGTGGCAGTTAAGTCTTTCAACACTCTGTGAGTTTCTTTCCCCAGCAGTAATTTTGCTGGTGAAGAAATACAGCTCAGGGCACTCCACAAAGTGGAGCCTCAAAATTCATGTTTTGTTTTCATTACCAAAAAAATGCTTTGCTACATTAAAGACTGGCCCATTAAAGTTTTGTACCCTGTCTTCTCTGCACCCTGTCGTTGTTGGCAGACCTTCCCCTGTGCCCGTGAATGGCAGAGCAGCTTTGCTTCTGCAGGCTCCACAGAGAAAGGGCAGCAAAGGGGAGGAGGCTTCAGCCACAGCTCAGCTTGTTCAGATGTAAGATCTCAAAACTTGAGATAGCCATGCAAATTTACTCAGTAAATGTATGTACTGAACCTTAAGCTATCAGTGCTTCCTCTGCTTTCAGTGTATCCCAGCACAGCACACTGCCAAAGGAAATAAATTAACTGTCTGGTTCCTGGAATAAAGTGTAATGCTGCACAAAGCAGTATGTTTAACTGTCTTGGGCAAATGGCCTTAAAATAACAACAAAAAAGAACACAGTGAATTACAGGAGTCTCACTGAGCCTTGTGATTATATAAATTAAATGTTGCCAGGTGAACTGGATGGTATTCTCTGATGCTGTAGGAACGCTGGAGGTTGGAGAAAACAGTAAATGTTATAATTAGGGTTTAGGAGAGCACTTGGTTATTCTCACAAGTAATTCAGACTAGCTGTATGCTGGCATGGGCATGAGAGCAGGCAGTAAAACCTGGAGCTTCCTTAATTAAGAAGGCAGAAAGGTTTTTTAGCAAAATTCAGTGGAGACTTACCATGTCCAGTTTTATTTATTATTTCCACATTTTATTTAGATGTAAATGGTGCATTAATAAATTTACAACCATATTAGCAAGTTAGAAGATCAGAGCAAGGTGCAGCTGTGGGCCAGGGCACAGGCAGGAGCGGCAGCAGGGCAGGGGGGCAGCAAACCTGTCCCTTGCCAGCACCTGGGTGGGCACTGGCATCACTTCCAGATGCTCCCCACGCTGCTGGGGCTGGGTGCTGGTGCTGGGAGCAGGGAGGCAGCGAGGCTGGGCAGCAGCAGTGCTGGACATGGCCTGCAGCAAGGCTTGATGAGCTGTTTTCCAGGGAAGGGGAAAGCCCTGGCCTGGTCTCAGCCAGCTCACGGGGGATTTCATGGGCCATTTGAAGGGCTGGCTCGATAGTGAAATGCAGCCAGCTGTGGGATGGGCTCTCTGGGAAATGGAGGAGTCCTCATGGCAGGATTATTTAAGACTCGACTTTGAAAGATGAGACAACTGCAGTTGGGAACAATGCTGCACTGTCACAGAGATGGACTCAATTACTTAATAGGTCGCTGCTGTCTGTCTCCTGCGTTTTCCCTTTCAAGAACATATATTCAGCTGGGTTATTTCTCATGGGAAGACAAAGCCTTGTGAGAGGAGGCAGGCATTTGGAGGGGAGAGGCTGGAGGAGCAGCAGCCAGGCAGATGCCGGGTTTGCTCTCCGTGGAGCAGGCTCCTTGGGACTTGACAAACCTGGAGTGGTGTAGCTGATGTGGTCCTTTGGTCCCATAATCAGCTGATCCCCCGGTCACATAGGTCTTGATCCCATTTTTTTTCTTCACAAAAGATTTGCCAGGGTGCTCTCCCCCTGCCAGGCTCATCTCCAGGACTGCTGGTGGTGACACTGTGGGGCTGCATGGGCCATTGCTTTCTGCTTTTCTGCGTTGGATGGACACTGACACGTCCTTGCAGCCCATCTCAGTGCCTGGGCAGCCTCTCCTTCAGCACAGGAAGGCTTGGATGGTGTTTGATCAAATGCCAGCTGAGCTGGAGGCCAGCTCATGGCCAGGAGCCCATCCCTGGAGTAGCCACTTGGTTCTCTGTTAGCAGGACAGGGAGGACAGGGACGTGTCACAGCCAGGGGCTTGTGTTCTCCCCAGGAGCCAGGGACTCGTGTTCTCCCCAGGATCCCTCTGCCAGCCGTGGGGTGAGGGTTCTAGGGCCTTTCCTGGTGGGGCAGGGGCGTGCCAGGCTGAGGGCAGCACGAGCCTGGTGCCAGGGCAGCGTGGGACCCTCACCCAGGGCACCTGCCCCGGTGCCCGTGTTTGTCACCAAATTAACATCCTGCATCCCCTTATGCACGCTGAATTGATGCACCTAAATTGGTTGTTCTTAAGCCCCAAGGCTGTAATGAGATTTTGTCTCTTTTGCCCATTTCTTTTTCTCTTCTCTTTTTTTTCAGAATAAGTCGTCTGTTTAATGGCACAGAGCCTATTGTCTTGGACAGTTTAAAACAACATTATTTCATTGATCGAGATGGGGAAATTTTCAGATATATATTAAGCTTCCTAAGGACATCTAAGCTACTGCTCCCAGATGACTTTAAGGTAAGGAAAGCTAGAGTCTGCAATGTGTTTTTTCCTCCGTTCTGTCATTTGTTTTGGGGCAGGTTGGTTTCTATGCTTGACCTAAACACACTTAACTAAATGTTGCTGTTTATTTGTTAGGATTTTTAGTACTTGTGTATTACACCAGGGATGCTATTATTTAATAAATGAGCCAGTGGTTGTCATGGATACCAAGAAAAGTTAAACAATGAAGCTTATAGCTAAATCAGTTTTTCTAAACTAATTGTATTTTCTCACATGTTTAGCTTATTTATCAGGGTATAACAACAATTAAGAAGCAACATCAGCAACTTGCACTTAGCAGGGTTTAATGCTCAGACTCTGAAAGAAATGTTTCAAGTTTGATACATAGAGGACTTGAACTGTGTAAATCTTTTTGCTATAAAAAAGAAACCTTTAAACAAGCCCATGAGGATTTGTGTTAGACATAACCAATGCAGATAGTTTGATTTCAGGAAGTAATCTGCTCACAGTTAATGTCAAAATATTCGTGGGAGATGGAATTGACTGAGGGCTTTCTAAGGAGCAGGACATGTTTTGTATGAAGTCATGGTTGTTTCTCTGAGGCCCTGATTGTTTAAAGGCTCTGCTTTTTGCCTTGTTTGTTTGGCTTTGCGCTTAGGAAACTTCTAGCATTGTCACCCTGATGTATGAAAATTAGAAGACAAAAGTGTCCAAACTGTAGATGACAAGATTCAACAAAAGCACTTATTCCAGGATGAAATGATGAATAAATTGGGATGGCATATGGGGCTCTGCCAGTTAGAGGATGCAGAGAATTGCTAGGAAGGGAACTTCTGCTTTCTCTGAAGTGCCATTTCACTTTGTTGTACTGTCTGGGCAAAGGACCACTTGGGCTGGGACTGAGTGAGTCCAGAGTGGTGGTGGTGGCTCTTGCTTTGGAGCAGAGCTGGTCCTGGTGCCCAGCTCAGCCATTCTCACCTGAGCTAGCAGGACAGTCATGTCTGACCCACCGTGGGAGGGTCTGCAGCTCACATCTGGCAGGGGCAGGTTTTGGCAGTCCTGGTTTGAGCTCAGCCCAGAAGGGCTGTCCTGGGCACTGGTGTTCCTGGTGAAAGGCAGATGGGCTGGAGAAGTGCGCTGTGGAATGGGGGGAAATGAGAAATGAGGGCTGGGTGGGAGAAAACTCTGCAGAGAAATGAGAGAAAACCTGTGTGTAATGGTGGAGCTAAAGACCAGAGCAGTCCTGGGGTTGTAGGATGGATCAAGGGAAGGGGTGGATGGAGAGGTGGGAGAGGCACAGGAGAGATGCTTTAGCAGCTGTGTTTTGTTCAGTCCAGTGGGGCAGTGTGAGAAGAGGCCACACCTCCAGTGCTGTGCCCAGCTCTGGCCCCTGAGGGATAGAGAGAAGAGAGAGGTGGTTTGAGTTGATTATGGCCTCCACCAGCATCCAGATTTCAGAGATGCTCAGTCACAGAAGCAGCAGGATTTGCAGGGCTTGTCTGCAGAGCGAGCCTGGCAGGGCTGGGGGCTCAGGGAGGGCTCTGTGCCTGCTCAGGGCCTGCCCCCCACCACCCCTCTGCACTGGGGTAGCTGCATTTCAGTGAACTCCTCCCTGGGAGAGCTTTAGAGCAAACCCCAGGCTAATGAGGGCTCAAGAACAAAGCAAAGCATTGCTAGGTAGGGAGTAACTAAATCAAAATGCATAGAAGAATGAGCTGTAAAGCTGTATTAAAACTGCACTGTAAACGGATTTAACTTCACAGAAATCGTGTAATTTTGCCAGCATGATTAAAGTGACAGAAGACAATAATCAAAGGCAGCAAATGGAATCACTCGGTGTTTCTAAATGCAAAACTCTATTTAAGGTATAAAACCTGACAGCTTTTCCAGTGAGACTTGCATTAAATGTTCTTTATGTCAAACAAAGCACTATCAAGTGTTTTGAATATTTATTAGTTTTTACCCCTTAATTTAATCAAGCAGTTTATTAGCCTCAAGGTTTAGCCAAGTTGCTTTTCAACTTGAATTGCTGCTCAGATGGTTATTTTGGAAAGTTTGGAATGCTAGTACCACACCAGCATTACTGTGTTTGCTATTTCAGTGGTGTTTTCAGACGAAGTTAACACTGAAATGCAGAGAAAGTGGGGTGTGTGTTCTGAGGCTAGTGGTTCTTTATTATCAAGTCTGAGTGGTGTGTTTACAGTGAATATTAATTACACTTGCAACTGCTACTAAGCCAGAACTCGAAAGTGTCTCCCAGGTCTTGCTGCTGAAAGTAGCACTCCTGTGGTTCCTGTAGCTTTCCTGGGTTTGGGGGATTTTGAGCCCCGTGCTGAGGGCAGTGTGCCTGGCTGTGCCCTGCAGCCAGCCCATCCCAGCTGCTTGGGGCCAGCTCAGCTCTGCCACTCTGCTCTCAAGGCTGGCTGCCACAGGAGCTGCTCCTCCTCTGGTCCCAAAGTCCCCTCCTTGGTGTCCCCTGCCAGCAGAGGGGCTGCCCCAGGAGCAGCACGTGTCCCCTTCACTGTCCCTGCCCAGCTGCACCCAGAACCAGGAGCTGCTGTGAGTCTTGTTTGGGACTCACTCCCTGCTCAGAGAGCATCAGACAGGAACAGACACGGGCAATGTGAGTATTGTTGTTCCCTCTCAAAGAGGGGAGGAGCACAAAGGAAAACAAAGAGTTTTATGTGGATTGCAGAGACCACCTGTGGCACCAAAATGACAGGGCCGCCACTCTAATTTATTAACACAGTTACAAAATTTGTGTGCTTGCATCTAAAGTCTCTCAAACTGACCTCAGGAAACAGTGCAGTTGTCATTGTAGAAGTGAGCAACTTTCTTTCATAGCCAGGAGTCAGATCTTATCAGCACTAAAAATATAAAAGAAACATTGACTTAGGATGACAGTTTGTTGTTTCATGTAATAAAGAATAACAAGTGAAAAATGGACAGAAGAGCCATTTCAGCCTGTTCAGGAGTCACCACTAGGGACAAAAATAAAGGATGTCTTTGGTACTGAGCACCAGCTCTGTGGGACACATGGGCTCAGTGTGTGCTGGCTGCCTGCCCTGGGTGGCAGATCTGAACCAGCCCGCTGGCCCTGGCATGGGAGCAGCAGCACTGCTGGCCTGGAGGTCACACCTCCTCCCCAGGAAGGTGCCACCCTTGTCACAGGTGACTGCCAGAATTTAGCCCGCTTGAAATCCCCCACAGAAAAAGCTTCTTTACTGAACAAAAAGCAGAAAATTATTTTGTGAAAGGCAAAAGGCTGCATCTTTGAAAGATCTGTTAATGTTGCCAGTGAGATCTACATGTAGGCCAGAAGCTGTGGCTGGAGAAAGGCTGTGTGCATCCCTGCCTGTCTGCTCCCTTCCACAAGTGACCTGGCAGAACTTCCCACTGGTTCCTGCAACAGCCACAGGAGGTTGAAGGCTCATGGTAGCTGTAAAGGCTTTTTTTAATAAAGAAAAATTGAGGGCTGTACTATCTCCCCTTTCAGTCTATCAAAGAGCACCCTGCTTGTGACTGCCACTGGTGGTGGGAATCACCTCCAGAGGAAAATGTGTCCCTGGGCTAAAGAGAAGCAGTTCCACTATCTGTCATAGTGCTTGGCTCTGGTGCTGCTGGCAGGGAGCTGGGAACACAGGGAGATAATGCTTGTAAGAAATGGGAGATGCTTGAGTCCTGCAGGACAAGGAAGTCGTGGGTATTGCACAAAATCTGCTGTGGAATGGTGCCAGCAGCACTGCCCTGCACCAGGCTGGAGCCGCTGTGGGAGGGAGCTGCAGGTGTCCCTGTGCAGGGATCAGGGCTGGCGTGGCACAGAGCTGTGCCCTGGGGCTGTGACCCGCTGTGCCCGTGGCCACTGGGCTGCTCCTGCCTGTGCCAGTGGGATGTGCCTCTCCTGGATGGGGCCAGGAGCAGTCATGGCTGCATCTGCCTTTGGTAACTTACCAAAACCAGCAGCATGGAAATGTTCTCCTGCAGTTCCTGTGGCACCTCCCTGGCGAGGGCTCTTGTGGGTTTCATTCTTCTGCTTTACATTTCATGTTAATGGTAAATAAATCTTCAGGGTAGGGTTTGATATCTGCAGTGCAAGGGTAGAAGTACCTATGCCAGTGTCACCTGGGCATCCCAGGCATTCAGTGCAGAGAGTCCAGAGCTGGGCTCTCCCAGTCTGGTCACAGAACTCTGAACAATGTGTAAAACCTGGAGGGAAAGTTTGTGGGCTTGGTGTGCAGAGCCCATGACCCTGTCCAAGTACAGGATCTAGAGAACCTGGCCCCCACACTGTGAGCCACTCGTTCTGTGTTCCTGGCTCTGTGAAACCCTCTTCCCTCCCTAAACACAGTGTCAGATTCCCTCAGGATGCCCCAGTCCCTCCCTGCAGAAAGGCCAAAAGTCCCATAAGAGGAGCAGGGGCAGTGTTTGCTGCTGGTGGCTGTGGGCAGCAGTGCAGTGGGGTCACACAAGGTGTCCCTTCCCAGCACTGTCACTGGTGGACTGCAGTGAATTCCTCTTGCTACAGAAGACTCTTTTTTATCCCCTCTTACTACAGCACAAGGAATTCCCCTTGCTGGCACTGCCTGACAGTGGTGCCCCGATATCCTGACATCTCCTCCTGGCACCAAGTTCCCTCTTACAGGGCCCTTCTTCAGGTGCACAACCCTTCCCACATTTGTGCTGAACCAGAGTGTGGAATGGGCACAGGCAGGAGAGCCTGACTTCGGAGAGTAACCCAAACAGCTTGGCCCAGCACCTGATGCTCCAGCTCAGCCCTGATTTCCACACAGCCCCCTGAAGTGTGGCTCTCTCATTCTGGGAGCAGTAGTGGAAGAGTTGTTCCATTTGAAAGCAGGTTTTCTTCTCACAAAATGGTATTAGGATGTAAAATTTATCCTGTTCGTTTTCGGGCAGTTGACAGCCAGCAGAGTCACTGGAAAGCTGCAGTTGGTGGGGTGGGCTGAGTGGGCTGTGGGAGAAGCAGGGCTGGTGTGATCTGGGCTTTGCTTGGTTTATGGCACTGCTGTTCTGGCCCGAGGGTGCAGCACCACTGAGGTTCAGGATACGGCCGGGGCCGTGCAAAGGCAGGGGGCACTCAGAGATCTGTACTGCAGTGGGCTTGCATCCAGCCTTGGGAGCCCTGTGCACTCTCTGCTCGCAGCCATGAAGGGCTGTTCTTTCTTTCACTGTACCATCTCTTCCAGGTTTTACTGTTGAGTTTTCTTAGCACATATTCACTTGATTGATTTTACAAATAATACCTTACTTTATAGTGTCCATGAACCCAGATACTCCAAAACTGGTTTTTCAGGACCTATTGAAAACAGCAGATGACTTTCCACTGCCTTCAGAAAGTACTGGGTGCTCCTGATCACTCTACACCATTACATTTTTCCTTAGCATTGCATGTTTCCTTGCTTGGAAGAGCAATCCATGGCACCAGCAGATGCCAAGTGAACATTTGGCAGGCCACTCCACACACCTCTGTACCTAACACAGTTAGATGGTAGACTGTGCTGGTTCAGTGTCCTGCACAGAGATTTCAGATATTTTTTTTTTATTTTAGGCCACTAATCCCTGTAGGTTTAAACTGATCCCCTGTTCAGTACTGAGGGAGCATCACTGATGGACAGAGGAAAGCAGGAATGGTTCAGCAGAGAGTGCTGGTTTTAGGAAGGGTGAGAATACCTTCCAGCAGAGGACGAGGCTTTGGGGCTGGTGCTGTCTTACCTGAGCCCAGGTAGTGCAGGCAGCCTCCACAGCTCTTTGCCTGGCCTGTTCCCAGCACTGGCTGTTGGTTGTTTGCAGCATGCTCTCTGCATGATTTCTTCTTTAATCTTCTGTGTTTTCCATCTTCAAGCTGTCCCGTGAGAGTGTTTGTTGCCCTCATTTCTTCCCACTCGCTCTTATCCCTCTTCCTCTCTGCTCCTCTTATCCTCCAGTCCTTTTTTCTGCCTTAGCTGTGTGCACATTGTCCCCACCTCAGCAGACATCAAAGAGATGTAAAGGATTGGATGTCCCTTTTGTAAGTCGCTCACCTTGCCCTGTCACTGTGAATATTCATATGTCTCCAGGCTGCAGGCAGCCCTGGGGTGAAGGAGCACCTCCACTACCAGTGGGTCTGTGGTGCCAAATTTGAGCAGAGATAACTGCTTTGGTTCAGTAATACCCTGCAGCAGGAGATTTTGCAGGTTAATTCCACACCTGTATGTAGAGTTGCACCTTTTTGTGCTGCATCTTCATTGGCCTTTGATTCCCCTCATCCCTGAGTCCTGGGGCAGCAGCACACCCGTTATTTTTGATGTGCTTTTGGCGCCCATTTCTTGATTGCTTCTTGTCGTATCATTCTTTCCAGTCCAAATGATTTCAGCCATTTCAGTCTTGATTTTTCTTTTCATTTTATTTTTCATTTCACTGGTGTAGAACTGGCCTCTGTCAGTGTTGACCTCCAGCACACCCCACAGGAGCAGCTGTGGGGCAGCATTTGTGTGCAGGAGGTGCAGGAGCTGGGAGAGCAAAGCCAGGTGTCTGCAGGGAGCAGCTGAGCTCTTGTGAGGCTGGGGGAGCAGAGTGCCCCCAGGGCCTCTCCCTCTCCCCCTGCTCTGGCTGGGCCTGGGGGGCTCAGCTGCCTCCTGGGGTCTGGGGGTCTCACACCCTTTGCCTCCCTGTACTCTCACATGTTTCAGCTGGGCTGGGAAGATCTGTCAGAGTCTGATGAAACAATCACTGAACTGGGAATTGGATCGAACTGGGAATTTGAATTGCCCAAAGCCCAAGTGAAGTGATGGACAAATGGCAGGGAAGAAGTGCTTCTCTGCAGCCCTTGGAGCACACGGCTGAGCTCCCAGCCAGCAGCATGGTCACCACCTCCGTGTCATTTACCGGCCTCCAGAGTAGGCTTGAAACACATGAATAGTCATCAACAGCAGGCAGCAGCTCAGCTGCTGTGGATGAATTCAGCCTCAGCAAAGGCAGGTGAGAAGTGAAGCTGAACTGACATCTCCTGTCAAGAGGTGCAGGAGCTGGGAGAGCAAAGCCAGGTGTCTGCAGGGAGCAGCTGAGCTCTTGTGAGGCTGGGGGAGCAGAGTGCCCCCAGGGCCTCTCCCTCTCCCCCTGCTCTGGCTGGGCCTGGGGGGCTCAGCTGCCTCCTGGGGTCTGGGGGTCTCACACCCTTTGCCTCCCTGTACTCTCACATGTTTCAGCTGGGCTGGGAAGATCTGTCAGAGTCTGATGAAACAATCACTGAACTGGGAATTGGATCGAACTGGGAATTTGAATTGCCCAAAGCCCAAGTGAAGTGATGGACAAATGGCAGGGAAGAAGTGCTTCTCTGCAGCCCTTGGAGCACACGGCTGAGCTCCCAGCCAGCAGCATGGTCACCACCTCCGTGTCATTTACCGGCCTCCAAAGTAGGCTTCAAACACATGAATAGTCATCAACAGCAGGCAGCAGCTCAGCTGCTGTGGATGAATTCAGCCTCAGCAAAGGCAGGTGAGAAGTGAAGCTGAACTGACATCTCCATCTCCTGTCGGGCGAGCAGCGGCAGCGGAGCCTGAGATCTGCTGGGAGATCAGAAGTGTCCGAGCCACCAGCGGAGAGCAGGGCTTGGAACATCTTCTCTTACATCAGTGAGCTTTGTTTACTGCAACCAGCTATTTTGATTTCTTAACCCAAGAGTGAAGCCTTCTGGCATGGAGCTTGTGGGATAATAAATGAAAGGATAATTCAGTGCAATGGGAACTTCTCAGTCAGCCCAAACAATTCCACACCAGCACCGTGTGGTTTCTGTGGAGGTGTAAGTACGTGGGTACCTGTTGCCTTTGCTCTCTTGCTGACAATACATAAGCCTAAGTAGGTCAAAGAGGAACAATACTCATTTTTAAAAGAGAACTATAAGCATTTCTAGTTTCTCTCTCTCCCTCTCTCTTTTTTTTTCTTTCCCAGGACTTTAATCTTTTATATGAAGAAGCAAAGTATTACCAGCTGCAGCCAATGATTAAGGAACTTGAGCGATGGAAACAAGAGAAAGAACAAAGGAAACATTTCCAGCCTTGTGACTGCTTGGTTGTAAGAGTGACTCCAGATCTGGGGGAAAGAATTGCATTGAGTGGGGAGAAGGCTTTGATAGAAGAGATCTTCCCGGAGACGGGGGATGTCATGTGCAACTCGGTGAACGCGGGCTGGAACCAGGACCCCACCCACGTTATCAGGTTTCCCTTGAATGGATACTGCCGGCTGAACTCCGTGCAGGTAATGAACGGCCTGTCCTGCTGCCTCCTCGGGGCTGGGCTGCTTTTTTACTGTGGCTTCTTCAATTATATGCAAATTATTTGCTTCTGCCCAATTACTTTCGGTGCTTATACTGCAAGGAAACATTTTTCTGCCTGGTGAGATCACAGTCTTTCAGGTTTTCCTAAGTCTAAGCAGAAAAATACATTTAGATTTTGTGTATGTTAGTGCCATGCTGGCCTCATAATGGTGTTATACTGATAAATGCTAATTTTTTTCATCAATGTATAGCCTTCGGCAGTTTTTTTTTTCCTCCAAAGTGCCTCTAGGAAGAAAGAGAGAGTTCCAAAAACTACAAAAAAAATCTCCACACCATTTTATAGAAAATGCAACAATGTGTAAATGCATAATTTATGTCTCACTCATAATTAAATGATGGTGCCTGCGGGATGGACTTAAAAAAATTGATCTCTGCACTTTTTTTTTTTTCAAAAGGATGTTCTATAAAAATTGCCCAGAGTATTTTAAACAAAAATGTATTTCATTTTATACTCAGAGTTTTGACATTAGGTTTAAAATTAAACATATGAAACAAAAGAAGATAACTGGACAGATAGGTGGATGGCAGCAGGAATAAATACGTGGCCTGTGTGTAGGCAGCAGCCCGGTGCCATTGGTCAGGGATCCCCGGAGCTCTGCTGCTGTGCCTGTGCTGCGGCTCGGGGCAGGAACCAGTGCCCTTAACTGGGGCAGGGCAGAGCTCTTGGATCCCTGTGAATTCCTTTGGAACAGGCTGCAAATGCTCGTGTTACGGGCAGGGAGATCAACCCAGAGGGGAGCATTTCCCAAATGACCGTCCTCTGCAGGGGCTGTGAACTGGGCTCTGGGAATGCCGTGGCTGCCTGGATAAACTCCCTGTGGGCAAAATCCCACGGAGGAGCTGGCCGGGCAGGGAGGGCAGCAGCGGGGAGGACAAGACCGCGGAGCTGCCGTGGGTGCTGCACGTCGGGCTCGGGCACCGTGCGCCTGCCAGGCTGCCGGGGACATCCTCAGCAGGGTCCCCTGCCCTGCAGGGGCGGCGGGAGGCGGCGGTGCCCCCTGCGAGGGCAGTGAGCCCTGTGAGGGCAGTGAGCCCTGCGTGGGCAGTGCCCCCTGCGAGGGCAGTGAGCCCTGCGTGGGCAGTGCCCCCTGCGAGGGCAGTGCCCCCTGCGAGGGCAGTGACCCCTGTGTGGCAGTGACCCCTGCGTGGGCAGTGACCCCTGCGAGGGCAGTGACCCCTGCGTGGGCAGTGCCCCCTGCGAGGGCAGTGACCCCTGTGTGGCAGTGCCCCCTGCGAGGGCAGTGACCCCTGTGTGGCAGTGCCCCCTGCGAGGGCAGTGCCCCCTGCGAGGGCAGTGAGCCCTGTGTGGGCAGTGCCCCCTGCGAGGGCAGTGCCCCCTGCGAGGGCAGTGACCCCTGCGAGGGCAGTGCCCCCTGCGAGGGCAATGACCCCTGGGCTGGAGCATCCCAGCCCCGGGCTCGGGTGGCCTTTGGCCCCCACAGGTGAATCTGGGCGCGGTTCAGCAGGCTGTGGTGAATTCTGCCCGGCCCCTGGCAAGGTGTGGGGCTGGCGGTGCTCAGAGGCAGCTCTGTCCTGCACTGGGACAGGGAGGGACAGGGAGGGTCCCCACTGCTGTGCCGGGAGCTGCGGAGGAGCTCTTGTGTGCCAGCCCTGCTGTCCCCGGGAGCCTGTGAGATCGCACCAGGAATGAGAGGAGCTGAAACCATAAAGGGTCACAGCAGCTCAGCCCTGCCTGGCACAGCTCTGGGTGCCCACACGGCTGGGCACTCCGCTCTTTTATCCAGTGCTGCGACTCCTGGGATGCATGTGCTACATGTGGAGCAAAAGCTGAGCACTAATTACTGCTATTATTTGAATGTGTTTTGAATTCAGTCAAAATTCAGACAGAATCAAAGGGTCTCTTTGCAAGTTCATGTTGTGGAAAAAATTTCTGTCAAAGAGTCTACAGTATAAGTAATCCTGTTAAATTACATCATTTTACTAAATTACATCATTTTACTATATAATTAATAGAAAGTGTTTTCAAACACTTTCTGGAAAATGATGCATTTCTGAGACCAAAGGCTGATGAAATCAGCAGCTAATTAGCGTTGGCTCTGATGAACTCTGGTCAGCACACAGGCACTGCTCTTCCCCCTCCAAGGATTTTTTTAGCAAAACAATATTAAGTCAAAAGCTGGAAGTACAGTGAGGCAAATGCACAGATTTAAGGGAGATGGGTAGTGCTTGGAAGAGCAGAATTGCTTGCAAAGAGTCCCACAGAGCAACACCGAAAGCCTGTCTGCTGTTTGCTCAGGTGATACATTACTTCTGCCTCCCTATGCTCTGCTCAAGGTATTTGGTAGCACAGTTGCAATATTTACACATTTTTTATATATTAGAAAAATATTTTCATTACATGCTTTATATCAAGAACTGTGGGTGTAAAATAAAGAACATCAACACCTAACAGGCAAAAAAAGAATACAGTAATTCTTAATTGTACACCCATTTGTAATTTTAGATAGTTACAGGCTTTTTCAACTCCTTGCAATAGGTTCTGGTGGGAGTCACAAATTTACCTTAGAGAAAATTCTGTGATGCTTGTGAATGTTGAACATTAAGTCTTCATAATTAAGAATGTATTTGTTAATATTCTGCGCAATTTAAATGAAAGGATCAGGTTTCCATTTGGAAAACCTCCCAACAAAATCAGATGTGCTTGGAATATTGGAAGACAGCACATATTAAATGTGAGCACAAATCCCCTATTTAATAATGTGCATGTGTCCCTGTACATGGGAGAGTTGCAGCTGATACTCAGTTTTTGGCATATTCTCTTTGGAGATTTTCAGCAGAGTAGCAGAGATGGTCACTGCTTTCCCCCTGTCCATATCTTACCTTCAGAAGAAATAAAATGTATAGAATCAAATTCTCTAAATGGGATGCAGACCTGTCCATGTTCAGGTGCTGTTCAGCACTGAAAGGAGCCTTTCTCCCTAGACCCGAGCTCAGCCTCATCCCAGTGACACCCAAAACTGCTGTATTTAAACATCCTCAGCATTGTTTACAGGATTTGGCCTGAGCAAATCGATGATCCCAGGGTTTTTAACAGCAGATTGTGGCCTGCAGTCTGGTCCTTGCAGCATGGAGTGGGTGAACAGGAATCGCTTTGGTGGCCCGTGCTGCTCTGAGGTGCAGTGTCTGCCTGGGCTGGGTGTTTGCAGAGAGAGGCTCCTGTGTTAACATCCAGCTTTCCATAGCTTTGGTCTGAGGCAAGCCAAAGGCACCCCCCTGCTTGTTTTGTCTTACAAGCAAATTGATTTTAAAAACTTTTTTAGCAAGGATTTTGAAGTCCCGTCTCTCTCAGAAATCTTACCTGTCAATCCTCTGTTCCACTGTCCAGTTCAGTGGGAGAAGCCTCCTTTCCCATGGCTGCATTGTCTCTCATCTTCGTCCTGTCAGGGCTAGGAGCAGTGATCACAACACAGGCAGAACATACTCCAGCCTGTGACACAGCAGCCTGCTGATGTCTTATTCCTCCTTCCTGCCCTCCCCTCTGAGGAGGAACAGTGCTGCTGTCTGCGCCCCATTTCTGTCCTACAGGCCCCATTCAGCCCGGGTGAATAAGAGGGGTGAAAGCTTTCTTTCTCTGTCTTAAATGTATTTTATTAACCCACTCTCCAGCCTCTTCTTTTCTTCTCTCCCACTTCATTTTTCTTCCATACTCTGGTGTGCTTTTTTGATCTTTCAGTTCTACTACTTTCTTGCAGTGTAGGGTATGTAAAAATCAGGGCAAAAGTCAGGGAGATTTGGCAGATGTGACTTTCTGAGAATGTTAAGTCCCTGTGTCCCAGGGCCAGGCAGAACTCCCCAGGCAAGTTGATTTTCAGCAGACTCGGCAGGACTTGGGCAAAGCTCTGCTGGAGCAGCCTCTTCCTTTGCCCGTCCTTAGAGCCAGGCTAGCAAGAGTGAAACGTTTTAGTTAGCCCTGGAAGCCAAAGCCTGGATTAAATGCAGATGGATAACACAGGCAGCCCCTGAGGAGGGATGGAAGGGATTAAAGGCAGCAAATGCTGCTGCCATGGTTTGCACTGCTCTGACACCACCTTGGACACAGCTGTCCTTCCCACATCATGCTTCTGGAAAAGGCAAAGCCAACACTCAGGCAAAAGAAATGGTGCACTGAGCAATGCACAGCGGGGCTGTGTGAGGGCAGGGGCAGTGCCCAGTGCTTCCACTGACCTGCTCACAGTGAACTGGACACAGACCAAGCTCCTTCTAGAACCTGAGCCCAGGGAGGTACGAGCTGACTCTGTCTGCAGGTGTGTGTGTTGCTTAGACACTTCCCTAGGATGAAGAAGTTTGTAAAGAGCTTTGTCCAGGTTGCTGTGGGTGCAGAGAGGCGTCAGAGGGGGCTGGTGCTGCTGTGACCAGGATCCTCAGGTTTAATAAACCATGGGGTCGCTTCCCTGCTCCTGCTGCTGCCACAGTGGGAGCCACACGTCGGGTGAGGCTCTTGGAGAACGGCACAGGCTGCTCCTTGATGGCATTTATCAGTACAGAAAAACACAGCAATCATTTTCCCAGGTGCTGCCCGGGACTCAGGGGAGCCTGAGTGGCTCCTGCATTGTGATCTGCCCAAGGTGGATCTGGCATCTGCCCTCACTTGGCTCTGGGAGAGGCCTGGTGTGTCCTGCTCTGCTGGGAAGCTGAATATCAACACACTCACCCCTGTGAAAAACGGCCCCGTTCCCAGAGCCAGGATCAGCATGTCCTGGGGAAATGTGCTGTGTGACAGTCACAGAAATTAAAGTTGCCTCTGGGTTCCTTAAATTCGTGCATCTAAATGGCACCAACTTTTCTTTAGGAGGAGGAGAAAATACATATTTGGGCAGTACAGATTAACCTCTTTCTTGGGCCAGAACATTTCCCTGTTGTCCGTGTCCTGGCTCTGCATCCTGTCCCTGCCATGCTTTGCTCCCTTCCAGCGAGGGCAAACAGCTGAGATTGCCACGAAGATCTGGTGGATGTGTCATTTGAACTCCTAATGCATTTTCATCTGCCAAGGAAGAGCTTCTCGGCACCCTCCCCCTCAGACTGTTCATATTACTAATGATTAATTGGCACTTTTTATTAGAACTTAAACCTGATGATGCTTTCTGTAAGGAGTGAGAGCATCAATATCACCACAGTCCAGTATTTTACTATATAATGTACTAAGCTGCTCTGCAGAGTGCTTATTTCTTTGATTAATTTTTGTTTTCTACAGAGGTTTGCTGAGAGCGAGACTTTAATCACAGTATAGTCATTTAACAATAAGTTACAGAATTATAACTGAATAATATTCATTCAACGAGGACTCGAAAGGCTAAATCCGTCATTTAGATCTGGTGCTTCCGAATGCTTTCATCACTAAAATTTGCTAAATATTAATCTGATTGTTTTCCCTCCACATTGCAGGTGCTCGAGAGATTATTTCAGAAGGGATTTAACGTGGCAGCTTCCTGTGGTGGTGGGGTGGATTCCTCCCAGTTCAGCGAGTACGTGCTGTGTCGCGAAGACAGACGAGCGCAGCCCACCCCAACAATCAGAATAAAACAGGAGCCCCTGGACTAGACCCTCCCCGTGCCCCCTTTGTAACCGTAGAAGTGTTTAATAGTCCCTTATGTGAAACACTAAGGATTTGCAAAACAGTATTAGCAAACAGATTTTGACTTTATGTTGCCCATTAGCGGTACTCTGAAACTACCTGTCACATAGCCAGCCATGGAATGCGTTTGGAAAACCAGTTGTCTGTCGTTCACGGTGGAGTTCCTGAGCACACCCAGCATGGCAGGGCTGGGATGGACTTTGGGCTGACCAGCAGTGGTGTGGAACAGGCAAAGCTTTGGAAACCCTGGCCCTGGACTGGACTTCTGCAGCAAGAGCCATGGAAGCAGTGGAACCGCCCAGCAGGAGCCCAGGGACAGCCCAGAGCTGCGCTGCGGGGACGGGGGCGTCTGCGGGAGGAAGAACCCCAAAAACTGCACTGAGAACCTTCCCTGACTGCTGCCCCTCCTCCATATCAGGCGTGCTTCACACCCCCAGCATCACAGTCACCTGGTGATTGTACCCACCCACATGAGCAAATGGCTTATTTTTATACTACATTTCCAGCTGAGGTCTCTCTCTGTGAACAGGATTCAGAACCGGGAAAGGACTGATTCATAGTCACTGGTGCTCGGTGCTTAAACCCCCCACACAAACCAACCAAAAGACAAGAAATTAGGCAGGCCCACTTATGGCAATATTTGCAACAGTAGGGATCTGGAAGCACAAAATAAAATGCCATCCACCATCACACGAGGGTCACATACCCCACGAGGAGCTGTAGCTCTTTTAAAGCCAATCTTGTTTTTACAGCAGCTGTTAAGTTTTGCATCATCGAAGAAGCGTGGTTCTACCAAACAAGCCACCCCTTGTTAATCATTTACTAACCATGTTAGAAGCCCACATTTAGCAGGAAAGTTTAAGGATTTTGGACAAGCCCACTCTTTATGGGTCTGGAATTCTTGCAGAGTTGTTAAAACCCTGTATTGCCATTGTCAGATGAAAGCAGGACGCCGTCGGTTTAAATTGTTTTATTATTTTAAATTATTATTAAAATTTGAATTCCGTAGCTGCCCTCTATCTATGTAGCTTTCTCTGTCACAAAGTCAGGGTTCTGTCTGCAGGAGGGTCCTGCTTCAGCCAGGACTTGGCACTGACTCACAGGGCTTTCTAACTCAGGAGACAGCACCGTGTTTGCAGGTGCAAGGCTATAAATAGCATTCTGCTAAATCCTCTTTATTGCTGTTTAGCATGATTGGGTCCTCAATCACTAATTCATGTGTTAATCACAATTTAGTTTCTCCCACATTAATTTATAGAATACTGTTGTAGATGATGAATTTTAATTAAACTCTTTTTAGATGCATAAATATGGCCATATGGAACAAGGGACAGAGCATTAAGTGGGTGTGCGTTCCTAATGCAAATTGATTAATTGATTGCAATCAGGCAAAATTTAGAAGTCATGTTTAAGACTAGTATTTTCAAAAGCAATGAGCTGTACTGACTATCCAAGGTAAAATCTAGGCAGGGGTCTAATTTTTGGAAAAGGGCTGGATACCTGTCCATGGAAAATCAGACCTCTGCAGGTTTTGTCACCTTGGTCACCCAACTCAGAAATCTCTAATGGCAATCCTGGCCGGTTGGCCTTCTACCTTAGCAGAACAGTTGAGCAAATCTGTCTACTTTAAGAGTTGTAAAGTTATTTTATTTTGTGGTTTTATACTTGTACGACATTCTAAAGTTGCTAGGTATTGCCATATTTGAATATATGGCACAACATTCACCTTTGTATGTAAGATATCTGTAGAATTGTATATTACACATTTAATATTGTAAAGAACTTAACGTATAATTGTCATGTATTTGTGTATGCACATTTCTTATACAGTACTTCATGCCATAAACATTTCTGTAAAGTAAATGAACAAAAACAAGCACGTAGGGTGGAACACTCACTGTATCTCCCATGTTGTTTGAAAGAGGTGAGAATTTTTGATTGCGTCTTCTCCAGCCCTTTGCTCCATTCAGCTTGATGTAGCCATGTCTTACAAAAAGATAGAAGTGTTTTATTTATTACTTTCATACCTTTAAGTCCAAAGTATCCCTCAGTAGTCCATTCAGGTTCTTGTTTTTATCCTGTATCCACTCCTGCCCTGCCCTCTGGCATGGGGTGAGCTGAGCACTCCTGGCAGCACACCCTGTCCAGTTCTTACCTCTCAGCCAGGGAATAAAGGTGATATTCCATCCCAGGGGCTGCTCCTGCCCCTGGTGCTCTCCCCAGGCAGTCTGGGGAGCGCAGACTGGGATGGTGCTTTTACACATCTGTGGAACGTTGGAAGTATTTGTGGTTGGTTGGTTGGTTGGTTGGTTGGTTTTTCCTCAGTTTGGTGTTTACTGTATTTTTTTATGGCTCAATAAAGCAGCTCCCGTCGTTGGGGCAGCTTTGCTGAGGTGGCATTGGAAAGGGTTCCAGGCTGCGCCAGCCGAGTTAAATGTGAACTTGAGATGGAAAGTTTAAACCATGACATCACAGCATTGACTGCAGAACAGCACAAAGGCTAGGAAGACATGTGGAAACAATCACTTTCTTAGAAGAAATATGCCTTTAAAAAAAAAAAGTTAAGCTAGGACATGTTCTTTTAGTTAGTAACTTCAGGTCACTTATTTAAAGATTATTACAGTTTCATTTATATATTTTTTACTTATTTCCCTATATTTTTAGGCATCAATATCAGCAAAAAACTGATTTGAATATCTACTTCTGGCCTTAAACCACAGCAACATAACTTAATGAAGAACATTGCTCAGCATCACTAGGATGTTCTAAAGCACCCAGAGCCCCGGTGCCGCTGTGGTGTGCAGCCAGCACGTCTGCGTGGCGAAGGCCAAGAAGCAAAGCCCAGCCTGGTTCTTCACCTGATCCCATGGAGCAAATCTGTTCTGATTCGCTGTTGCTGAGCACTGGCCGCGTGCCTGACGAGCACGAGGCCTCACGAGCACTTTGTGTCCAGGCTGTCACAGCTCCCGTGGCAGCCAGAAAGGGACAGAGAATGTTCTGTTGTGCTTGCTGGGCTCCTCGCTGGAGAGAGCCACTGCTGAGTGCATCCATTCTCTGTGCTGATGGCACCGAGGTTTGTTGACAATTTTATTAGATGTTTCACAAAGGATAAGAATCAGCACAACAAAACATTGAAGTATTTGGTTTTAATATTTGTTTGTGGGTATTCTGTTAATATTTTAATGCAAAATGTTTCTGACCAGTGCTTAAGAACTACAAGACAATGTGAAATTCATGTTTGATAAATTAATACTGTATGTCACTCAATGTGTTACTTTAGTAAATTGTTTTATTTCTTTACAAAATAAGTACAAATAAGGGAGTATGTTTTCACACAAATTGGGGGTATTTACCAGTATGTACAGAAATCATCAAAATAACGTAACTCTAATAAACACAAGGCCTTTATAAACAATATGTACAAATTATCAATACATTTAAAACATAACTTTACACTTCCTGGCCTTAAATACCTTATGAATAATCTTTTGGCTAAATAGCAGCAGTATAAATTTTCTTCTGCTTTTCATAAACCTTAAAAAATAATTAAAACCTTTGTTTTTAAAACTATTGGACAAATAGTTCTATTTGTGCTTTCGCTATGGTTTCCCATCAAAAAAAATATTGCCTCAAAAAAGTGGCAAGCATAACATAGTAAAAACAGAGAAGATAAATAAGCAAATGTCTCCCTTCTGTGGTACTGTAACACTGTTCCCTCTGCAGCACAGCTCGTGCCCCTGCTGTTCGTGTCCCACTCGATCCCCATTTCTCAGACTCACACCGGCTTCCGTGTGGGCCCAAATTCTGCTTCAGCAAAGCATTCACAAGGCATTCACCCCACCTTTAGGTACTTACAGCTGCTCCTCATGCTCAAAGCCTGCTCAGGAGCCGTGGCGCGGTGTCCAAGGCAGAGGTGTCCTCGCTCCAGGTGCCGCTGGGCTCACCGCTCTCCCCACTCCGGGAGTGGACGCGGCCCCCGAAAACCTTTACAGCGACTTTAAAAATCCATATAGAATACTCTAAAATCTTTACCCAACAATATTCTCTTTTAAAACCACCATTAAACCATACTATTTGCAATAAATAAATTAACATTTTTTAGAAAATAAAACCCAACTTTGAATCTTGTTACTAACCAGCTGCTACAAATGCGCAAAAGGTTGATGAGATTTAGAAAACAACTGGAAGCAAGTCAAGGTAACTCAGCTGAGAGCCTGCACACAGATTTCATACACTTAAGATTTGGTTCAGCAAAAGGCTCAAGAAATGAGCTGTGCAGTAAAAGCAAAAGTCCTAAATATATCAAATTTGTGGGAGTGTGCAGTGGCTAGTCTCTTGGCTGTGCAAAAAATTGCCATTACAACTAAGTTAAATAGCAACAGGTATCACCATGGTTAGTGAGACAGTGCTAGTAAACTGGAAACAAAACAAGCCCAGCACCAGGAGTGAACACTCAGGTGAACACCAAGGCTGGGACCCACTCCTGTGAACCTGTCCCAGGCCTGGCCAGGAGATGGTTTAGGTCAGCCATTGCATTTGTGTAACTTCAACACCAGCTACTTCAGCCTTACCTAAAATGGCCAGATGGAGCAAGACCTTGATGTTGATTTTATTTGTGGAGTTAACATTTTAAAACCTTTTGCACATTTTTTTTGTGGTTTATATATATATATATATATATTTTTATATATATATATATATATATATATATATATGTTTTTACATAAAGGGAATTTATTGCATGTGTCTGACAATTTTACAAAACAAAATTACTGGAACATTGACTTCTGAAAAAAATAGAAGGCACATTAAAATGACAGCTTTCAAAGCAAGTTGAGCTTCTGTGGAGCACTCGGTAGGACTGTTGGCTTTATTTAAGCAGAGCTCGGTAGAGCAGGAGAGAATGGCTCATGTCCCGCTCCTGTTCCATGAAGAAGATGAAGTCCCTGAGGTTGACTCGTGTGATTTTCTGCCGGGGGTACTGCCGGGGGGAGGCCGTGCCCAGCCCGGCCTGGCTGCCCCCGCACACCCCCACGCCCTGCAAGAGAACACAGCACAGCTGAGTCCTGCAGCAGCCCGGCTTCCTCCTCCCAGGGCTGCAGCATCCTGCCAAACAGCTCCAGTGGATCCTTAGCAGCCTCCTCCTAACACATCACATCAGGGGTTTTTTACTAGTATTATTTTTTCTGTTCTTCTGAGTCTCAGCGAGTTAACCTGAGTACAGGCCTCAAGTGCAAACACGTGGGGCTAAACCTTGTTCGCTTACAACTCAGGACAAATCCACCCTGCTACACTTCACTGGAGAGGTATCTGACCAGATTAAATTCAGGAACAAAATTATTTTTAGCAGATAAGGTCATTAATAAATCAAAGGTGTGCAGGATCCTGCTGCTCATCCAAGGACTGGGAACAGGTGAGTGGAATATGGGAGTCCCCACAGGGACCCCAGTTCTCTCCTCTGGGTCTGCTGAAGAGAAGGGCTCAGTGTGGGGAGATGCTCAGCAAACAGTCAAAAAATTAAATGGAAAAATCACAAAGACATTGTGTGATGATAAACACAAACATTAGTATACTTGTTTCGACAGCTATGTTAAATAATCATATATTTTTTAATTGGTTCATTGGTACTGAATTACTGAATACCTCATCCTGGCTCTATATATAGAGAGAAAACTCTTGAACTGGGACTGAGAACACTGTGATCTGAATATTTAGAAAAGGAAAGGACATAATTACAGCCCCTGAAGTCTCATGGAGTTTAAACTGAAACCTGATGCACACACATGTTCAATTGTTTTTTCATCCATAGGAGTCCATTGTTTTTGTTAATTCCAATTGGTTTTTAGCAAAATAAAGTACTCTAACTTGGAAAAATAGGTTTTAATATCTGAAAAGATTTAAGCTATTTTTCAAACCTCTAAGAAATCTGGTAAAATTTTCTATACTTTTAATATCCCATATTTACTTACTGCTGCTCAAACCTACCTCTCTTTCCCCAGGAAATACTTATTCTAGGATCTTGACTCCAGACATTAAGAATACAGTTAAGGGTCATTTTACTACTGGAAGGTTGTAGGGGAAACACACACGCTCTGCTGAGAGCAAGGCATGGATGGCACTGTTTCCCTCTGTCCCCCACAGTCCGATTCCTTGCAGAACTGCACCATTCATTATTTCTCCCATTCCTGCTTATTCCATTACAGCAGTGGGGCAAATCCTCTTCTGTAACCACAAACACCAAGGGCTCAATGGAGTGCAATGGATGTGGCTCAGCTTGCAGGGAGGAGACAGAAGCCCACAAGCTTTGGCCACCTGGAGCATTTGAGCCAAGGGATTCTGCTCTCCAGTGTGGAGCAGTTTTTGTTCATTAACTGATGGAGCACTGAATCTCTCTGCTCACAGGAAATGCAGCTGCAAGAGCTGCTCATCCATGCTGGAGCCAGACACATGCCCAGTGAATAATCCATGTATTCAGCAGTGCTGTGAGTTCAGACCTTAACCCAAGAAACACTCTGCATTCCTAAAAGAAACAAAATCATTTAAACTCTTCCTCTCTGTCCTCTGCCTTGTGCTGCCTCTCACTGCACTCTGACCATGCACCCTGTGCCAGGGCTGTGCCCACTGTTTCCAAGTCCTTAAGAAACCACTGTGTGTGTATTTATTTTAAATCAAGCTGACTCAAATAATACTTCTTCTTCTCTGTTCCCCCCATGCTGCACGTCTCCCCTGCCCACAGAACTGATTTCAGATTCACCCTGACCACAGGACCTGTGACAAATACAGGTAATGTAAAGCAATGTGGCCACCTTAAACTCTTTGTAAACCATTGTCCATAGCACTCTGGACTGGGAGCATCCCACACACAATTACCAAACAGAGAAAAGCTGCGTAATTAAAAAAAAATTCTCTATATAAAACTATTTCTTTAGTCAGCTGAGTTACATTTACAGCAAGGAGCTGCTCTCTATTTGGACAGAGTAGCTGGAATTAAGATGTGCCAAGTCTTATTCATGGCATTTGTCACTAGAGATACTGAACTTCAACACAGCAAAAGCATCATATCCTTAACCAGCACCAGAACATGGCACCAAGCTGTGCACATTCGTAACCACACTCGTGAGCCATCGGTTACCTGATCATGTTGTGGAGTTGTTTTACAAGGTGAAAAATCATCATAAAAATTGTTTTAGAAATACAGAAGTTCTGTAAGCTGACAGAACACTAATTATATGTGTCAATATGATCACTAATTTAAATTAAAACCCAGCTCGTTTGGTCCTCCATTGCACTCAAAATTATTCTGCAGATGCTATATAAAAAACCAGATTCCTAAATGCCACAATTTTTTAATTGCATACATGAATTCAAGTATAGTTAAAAATAATGGTCAAGAAGAGTGGAATTGAAGTAATTCAAAATTTTCTCAAGAAAAATCACATGTTTTATCATCATGACAGATTTTTCATCAACCCAAACAAGCCCCTGTGTTGTCTGTATCTATGGCAACTAATCAGAGTTACACAAGTAAAAGCTCTAATAAAGGAATAAAAGGTTGTAAATTGTTTACCTCCTTTATTTCCTGGCCTGCCACATGCAAGCTATTCCCAAATCCCACACACTCAAATATACATCAATGCTAGTTTCAGTATCAGTGAACTTCTAGTTATAATTTCAGGAAAACTTGAGACATTCCAGACCAGAAGAAAACCCATGACATTTATATATGAACTCTCTGCCTCTTCATTTTGAGTCAGCTTCCAAACATGAGTGACAGTGACTTCCCATCCCCTGCCCTCCCAGCCCCTCCTTTCCCCACTGCCTCTCTTCCCTCCTGAAGGCTCCTTCAGTCCTTTCCTGGGGCACACGTGGGACTGCACAGCCACAGCCCAGAGCAGAGAGCAAACAGATTCTCCTGTGCCCTCCTTGCAGGGCTCCAGGGGCTGCCGAGCACCTGAGGCTGCCCCCAGCTCCCGCTCCAGGCCAGGGCTGAGGAGAGAACCAGTTCATGGAAAATCCCAGGCAGGAATTGGTAACCCTGCACTGGTGCTGTGCTCGTGGTTAACCTGTAAGGCCAGCCCCAGTGGCACAGCCTGCCTGCCTCAACAGCTTCACTCAGCCCCGTCAGCTCTGGGACAGAGCTCACAGCACCCCAACAACAGCGCGGGGCTGACAGGCTTCATGCTGCAAGCCACCCAGCCTGGAGTGATGGCTTCAGAAGAGTCACAGTGGTTACCCGTTCAGTATGCACACTTGGAAGCAATTCTGAATTTATGTCAGACGTGACACAAGATTTGGGCCAACTTTCTCAGCCTGTTTGCTATTTCCATTATTTTCCTCTATGAGAAAACTCACGCTGTTTGCAAAGGGAAATACAAACAGCTCAGAATAACATACTGACCAAAGATTTGGAAGATCAGTAGCTAAATATACAACAGCCTGCCACAGGAACAGACCTGTCTGTGATAGGGAGACTGCACCAAGCCCTGTGCACCGAGCGGCCAGCAAAGCCTCACTTGTGTCACTGTTCCCTGGCACGACCGAGCACAGCAGAGCTCCTCTGCAGTGTGTGCACCGCCTCTCCTCCCCCCACAACAGCCTGTGCCTTCACCAGCCACAAAAGGAGCAGAGTCCCCCTGCTCTCAAACCTTCACCCATCTCAAAAATGCACTGGAGCTACTCCATGGTAGCTCCTGTCGCACCCTCAGGTGACACAGGTGGGTCCCCATGGGACCCCGGGGCTGCAGGAGCTCCTCAGCCCCCAGGGCTGTGTGGCACACCCCAGAGCTCAGGGTGCAGCCTGTTCTCTGGAGAGCCCAGCCAGCCTCTCTTTGCTGCACCCAAGCCAACAGCTCCCACAGAAGCTGCAGGGACTGAAAATCTCAAGCTCCCTCCTACCTCTGTCCTCCTCCCGCTCGGCCCCACCCAATTTGATCCCTAAGGATCCCCCAAAGGTTTAAAGGCTGCTGGGAAAGGGGACTGAGGCATACAGACACATCTCTTCCAAAATGATCTCATTCCAAAATGGGCAAAGCAGACACTACTGCTCACTAAGTAGTGTCTACGTGCATTAAATTACAATGGTTACAGCAGCACGTGGATGGAAATCAAAGTGTGGAAGTCCCAAAAATGTGCTGTTCCCTGCTCGAGATAGAAGTGCTTTCACAGAAGAAAGCAAATGTAATACAATGTACATTTATTTTTATAACAATTTCTACTGTTGAACAATTAATTTTTGTTTTCCTTCACAAACCTGCATCCCTTCAACTTTGAATTACAGAACCATGGAAATACAGTACAATATTCCTGTCAGGGAACAGAAAGATAAGGGCAAGGAGAAGATTGCATTTAATATTTTATCCATCCTTCCTTCACCAGAAAACAATTCAGTGCTGACATCTCTGCTTTGAACAGAGTCTTGATCTGCGGCTATCGCGTCTCTGAGAGCCAGAGACAAGGCAATAATGATAAAAGATCTGCTGGGTTTCTTCCCAGGCTACGTGGCACATCCTTGTGGCAGACTTCACTCCAAGCCAAAGTCTGAAAGTGGGAATCATACAGCAGCAATTCAAAGCCAAGCTATGGAGTAAAATACACCAGGAATTTTGTCTCTGCAAGCTGCATGCACTGCAGAGGAGAGGGAAGATAAGGTGTCTATCAGACTGCTCTTATGAATAAGAGGTCTTGAATCACAAGAAACATTCTGGAGATATTCTGCAGCAATTATGTTTTTACTTGCATAAAATGCTATTAGATCTTTGGCTGAGAGGCACATGAAAAACAGGTATAATACTATGTATGATTAGCTGTCCCACATAAATTAGGGTTTAATTCAATACCTACTGAGGCTAATAGTAATGGTTTCACTGAAACATCCTAAAATTAAGATGCCTCTAAAGTACAGAAATGTAATAACTGTTCATCAGCACCTCAAAGATTAACAATACCGTATGAAATATAATTACATCTACAAAAATACCGTGCATCTTCATATGTGCAACACGGTGGCTCTGCAAGTGTCTTTAGAAGGATTCATCACCA